TAAATTTTGTATAATTTTTTCAAATATCTCGTTTCCAGCCCAGTCACACATGGGTTTTCCACTTAATTTGTAAATAACCGCATCAATTTTTGTATTGATTTAAATATTAAGCAATTGTTGAAAAAATATCAATATTAAGAAAGTTATGAATTTTTTTATTATTTTATTTCTCAATATTAATGGTTAATAACTTTTTCTTTTGGCAATTTATTTGTTAGCATTTTACGCATAAAAAGAGTAATTATATTTCCGAATAAAATTGAGACATAGGCCAAAATCGAAATTGTTTAAGACAATTTAAAACAATTGCTCGATACTTAAGTAATAAAACATAAACTTAACTTTGTTAAAAAAATCTCCATAACTATATTGGTTTTCGAAATATCCTCCATTTAATGAAATAGATCTGCTTAGTGTATTTTAATTTCATCAAGTGAATATAATTTTTGTGCATTACATGTAACGGTTTTATCCCCTTACTGAAATGTGTAATTATTGTATTAAGTGGATGGGTTAAATCATCCATTTCATGAAAAGTATATCAAATTTATCGGCTTATTATTAATTTTCAGCAAAATAATGAAAATTTCTTGAAGGGTAAAAATTATGGTTAGTTAAAGTAAAAGTAGAGTAGTAACGCCATCAACCTATCCAGCTTACAGGCAAAGCCTATAATGTATGGTTAGTATTTATTTACATTTTATTAGATATTTAAAAAATATATTGAAAATGTTATTTAAATATTTTAAAAATTGATTGTTATATTAAATTATACTTAATTATAAGAATTTTTATATAGTTATAAAGTTAGTAATTATTGAACAAATAATATTAGCTCGAATATTAGCTATTTATAAAAATAAACTAGCAATTTTACGAACTATTTGGATAAATAATAATTAGTAGTCAAAATGTTAGTAATAACTTAGATGTTTAATCTGTAGTATAGTTGACATGTTATTTTTTGACATAATATATATTATATTACGTGTCATTTATGTCACCTGTCGTTTTTGCCATCTGTCATTTTTTATGTCTGTCATATGCCATTTTTGATGAAATTATCACATTTCAGTTAGAGCATAAAACGGCACTTCATTCATAAAATTTTAGAAATAAGTTAAATATTCCTGATATCTTCCTTATAATAGTTAATTTCAAAAAATGACAATGTCAAGAAATACCAGATGTCAAAAATTGGCTGTCATAATATAATAATATCGTAATATAAATTGGCTATCATAATATGACATATATGATACATAACCTGCCAATTTTGACAGATGTCATCTTTCATATTTCGAAATAAACCATTATTATTGTTAATAATTATTATGTAATGTTAATGATTAAATATTTAAATAATTCGTAATATTTTCACAAGTAATTATTAATTTTGTTAAATAATTGCTATTTTTATGAATGGCCAATATTATTGGTTTAATGATTACTAAATTTGTAACTAAAGTTAGCAATAAAAATAAAAAATTTAAAATATTTAAATTATATTTTTTAATCTACTCCTATTGGATAATATTGTTTTTCTTATAAATAATGATAGGAATTAATAATTCCCTGCCTAACAACAGGAATAATGAACTCATTATTTACGTTGTTAGGCATTAGTGATTGACCGATTTCAATATTCACTTTGATTTTAACCAATCCGGTTTTTTATTGGGCGAAGGCGACTATAATAACATTTAAAATTTTTAAAAAGTAAAACTTTGAAGACATTTGACAGATGTCATATTTTATTTATTTATTTTTGAAAATCATTTAATTACCCATTTATTGGAGTAGATTATGCGCATTATCTCTCGTATAATAATATACCTACTATTATTTAATATTTTTTAAACAACAAAAAGAAAATAATGTTTTTCCCTTCAAGAAATTAACAAATTTTCCATTATTTTGTTGAAAATGTATTAGAACACGCTAAACTGATTAATTGGATACCATTTTCTTGAAATTGATGTTTTCACCCATCCACCAAGTATTGATGAAAATTTAACACCTTTTTAGTAAGAGCATAAATCGGCATTAAATGCACAAAAATTTGATCAACATGATGAAATTAAATTAGAATACTTTAAGCGGATCTGTTTCATGAAGTGGAAATCCCTTTCATGAAATGTATAATTAGGTACATCAAGTGAGCACGACATATCGATTGGTATCATTTAATGACAAAGTAGTTTTTGAGTAAATAAGTAGGTAAGAAGCGTGAAACGAAATCGGTTGGCAAATATTTTTATCTAGCCAGGCGTCAGAATTTTATCAAAAAACCTGTTTTTTGCCTTGTTTGTTTGTTGTTTGTCGTAGATAAAAAAGTAGCGTTCCACGAATTAAATTATATTGGTACGTGGAACAGCGGATGTGTCAATAATTTATTATTTGTTGATAAATACAATTTTATGCAAGGGGAATCCCACCATTATATATTTTCCTAAATATTTCCTGCATATTTTTTTTCGACAAACAACATCCTTATTATGTGACGAGGCAGAAAATAGCAATCCAATTCGTGTTGTTTTAAATTTAACAGCGTGGGTAATACAGTTTTAATTTAAAAAAATGATCAGCGATGTCGGTAAATTGCTTTCACCTTGCCGCCGCATTAAAAATACACCAACCACCCCAAGAGTCGCCGTCAAAATACCACCCAGTTTGCAAAACTGGGTCAACCCTTAGCGTAAATCCACGTGACTTGCCCCGCGCATCGATCCTACCCTTAAACATAATATAAAACAAGAACCAATAAACCATCGCAAAATACCTATTACCTAGTACCCATTATAAATTAAACATTTTTTTGTATATTTAGGTAAAGATCCGTGCGGTTTTAATTGTCAGGTCATGGCCGCCTCTTTTTGGTCGACGGCGCTGCTTCTTCAGACGCCCGATCGACGTCGCGGTTTGGAAAAGACGATGATGCACGATCGTATCCGATTATCACTCGAGACCAGTGTTGCCAGAAATGCAGAATTTTCTGCAATATGCAGAATTTTAGCCTACATGGGGAGCTAATGAAGAAAAGAAGAATATTTTACAAAAACCACTACAATATGAAGAATGTTTTAAATTCACATGTTTTTTTTTAATTTTTAAATTTTTTTCAATTTTCTAAGTTATTTAATTCTTTAACTCGATTTTAACACTGTAATTAAATTTAAATTTTAAATGTATTATTTTATTAATTTCGTATGCATTCTGACATCTCTCGGTAAAATGGTATAAGACTCAAATTGCATCACTGGTGCTACACTGGGAAAGCCCCTAATTTTAACAGATATGATTGGTATAAAATAGGTAGGTATACCTATTTATTTTACTTATAATTTATAAATCATAACTCCATAATATACCTAGTAGGTATATTATATTTTAAGGATTTGCATGCATGCACATGTGTATTGTTTATTAGAGATTTATTTAAAAATGCGTTCAAGTGAAGAAGATTCTCAAGGGTAAATATTAAAATTTTATATATGTATGCATATCTATTAATTAAATGGGTGCCTTTGCCACAGCAAATAATAATTAAGTATTTTGTATCTTATTTTAAGATTTTCAGAAATCCTCTGTGTGCCAAGTGAAGACACAAAATTTGAATGTCGATGGTGTATGCAATACTTTATAAGGGTGTTTTCAATAATGAATGATGTGAAAACAAAAAAACGAAACAGACTTCAAGAAAATACTTTGAATTCATCGATTAATTTCCTTTGCGTATTGCGTACCCATTTTAAAGATACAGGTACAAATTCTGCAAAAATGTCTGTCACCAAAAAACATTTAGATTTAATGAAATTATATAATTTATTTAATTCCTAAATCATGGTGTTATTTTTTGTTCTGCCTATAAAATTAATTCATTTTCTTTAATTTGTAATACTTTATAAAGATATTTGACTTTTAAAAATATTTTTTTATTATTATTAAGTACCTACCTAATCCAGTCAGAAGGTTTTTTATCGAATGACGTTTTACATCTCTGCAGAATTTTTAAGGTTAAATTGAAGAAAATTGGTATAAAGAATCTGGCAACACTGCTCGAGACCCTCCCTTGGCTTGGGGGGCGGCGGGTGCGCTCGAAGGGCGGGAACGACAAAACAACAACAATAACACCAGGCGAGACGCAGTACGCGGGATGTAACCTTGAGAATTTAAAAGAAATATGGAAAAATAAATTGTTTTTTAGGTTTATTATATTAAAAAAACGATTGCTACAACTAATAATAATTAATAAAAAGAATTTTAGTCATTGTTTCGTGTTTGCAAGTCATTTAAATTGTTAATAACATATCCAAATAAATAGGTTTTATATAAATATTTCTGTGTAGAAATTGTATTTATTCGGATTTTTACATGGCCGAACAGAATAAACACGCGATAATTGACAGGTGCTCCGCTTTGTAGAAAATTATTATTATGGTAAACTATGTAATCTATTTGTGTACATTTTATATAAACTATTAAAGTTTGTATTATTTTGTGTGTGGTTGGTTATCAAACAGCGATTTGATACGTTCGAACGTATTGCGTAATTTTGTAACCTTGTAACTACTCCATTCCGAGATTCATTCACGGAGTCCATCAACCAGGCACCAGCGTTCGTTCTTACGATCGATGATGATGATAATAATAATACTAATACAATGCGAAGAGTGGGGGGCGAAGAGTGAAAAAAGAGAGCTGGGTCAATTGATAATTATGAATTAGGAGTTCTTGTAAGGAAAAAAATCGATAGGAATGTGTACGAACATAAACAACAACACGAGACGAAGACGAAGAGAGAGAGAGAAGTAGGGAGGCGAGTAAAGATGGACGGAGATGGAGATGGTGTTTGTGCAACAACGTTTTACAGTTAGGTAAAAGAATAAACTAGGCATCAGCGGATTAAACGCCGCATTGTTTTTGCAACATGGCACACTCCTGCTGGCCAGTCAAAACAAAACAACCACACCGCGTTTGGTATTTTGGTGTTAACGTACCGTAGGCAGGTTTCGGAGTCTCGCCGTCGCAGGCGTCTTCGCCGTGCTGCAGGCTCAGCAGCGCCTTGAGCCAGCTGTCCTGCTCCTCCTCGCTGTCCAGCTGCACGCAGAAGCAATCGTCCTTGGTGTAGAGGGCGATGACGTGCTTGTGCTTGATGTCTTTGCGTTTGTTGATGTTGAAGCACGTTTTTAACGGGATGGTGCGTTTGGGCGCCACGCCGCAATTGAACTTTTTCTCCGAGTCGTAGTACTCGAGCCGCGCGGACGAATCCGCCGACTCTGCCCTCAGCACGAACCACTTTTTCTTCATCGTTTTGATTTTCTTCAGGTAGCCGCTGCGGACGATCTGGCCCTTCTGGCCAGCGCCGCCGCCGGCCCCCTGCTCGGCCTCCGCGCCCGTTTTTACAGACATCGCCGACGAATATCGCCTGTCACATGGAACGAAAACAACCACCGCACTGTTTGTTGCCTCGACTGGCTGCTGCTGCTTCTTCGTATTCACACTTTTATGCGCAATACCAAAACAACACCATGTTTTCCACGAAAAAAGCACTCAAACACTTTACAATCCAAGCAGATTACAACAAACGTTTTCAAATCTACTTTTTCCAATTAACACGCAGTTTGTTATGTTAAACGAACGCAACGCAATAATAATACAACGTGAACTGTACACTCGCCACGGGTCTATAACGTAGTCTTCGAACTCGTGTGTAAAATATTTCTACCAGCGCGCGACGTTGCCAACTCTCGCACGCGTTTGGCGCCTCTTTCAACGTGCCAACTTCCCGCAGACATTTTTAAACTTTATAGGGCACGTACGCCTAAAACAACAGATTTCATCAACAAATTCGACAATTAACACAATAACAAATCATGTCTTTACAATCAATTTTTTGTTTTGTAAAGTATATCGAAAATATTGTTTGGGGTGACAAAAAAAAATTATGGTGAAAGTTTGAGTCCATAATAGATTTTTTTTTCCTGAGCGAGTTTTTGTCTCAGAACTTCCAAACCATTGAGTTTAACAAATTTGACTTAAGAATATTTTTTTAAGAAAATTGAATGCTCTACAAAAAAGGTTTGACTGGAATTTCCCGTCAGATGAACCGTTTTCTTACAATCATTCCTTAAAAATTTATATAGTTTTACAATTTGATATTTTAACTTTGGAATTTTGTAATTCATGTAAAAATCAGTACCCGGAAAAAAACCGATAAATATTCTTATGGGAAATCAAATGCTCTACAAAAATCATTTTTGACTAAATTCACTCCATCAAAAGTTATTCAAGGTTAAATTTGAAGTCAAAACGAAATTTTAACCTTGAATAACTTTTGATTGAGTGAATTTAGCCAAAAATGTTAAGAGGCCTTTTTTGTAAAGCATTTGATTTCCCATAAGAATATTTATCGGTTTTTATGGGTACTGATTTTTACATGAATTACAAAATTCCAATTTAAAAGATCAAAATGTAAAACTATACCAATTTTTAAGGTATGATTTTAAGGAAATGGTTCATCTGACGGAAAATTTCACCTTAACCTTTTTTGTAGAGAATTTAATTTAATATTATTATGGACTCAAACTTTCACAATAATTTTTTTTGTCACCCCAAACCATATTTTCGATATAATTTTCAAAAAAAAAAAACATAGTTGATTTTTTTGGCCCAGTCTAATGAGTAACATTTTAAATAATAAAAGACGACTCAACCCCTTTATCGGATGAAGTTCATCCTTCACTTGAAGACCATCATCATTTATTTTTTAAACAAATATTAGAAATATTCCCCTACACTAAAACAAAACACAAAGTGCTTTTGGTATTGGGGAATATTTCTAATTTTTGTTTAACATTTCATCAAAGTTGTCCTTTTTCAAGTACACAGAGAAAAGTAATCTCTTGATTTAAGAAAATGCATTTACTTTGAAAAGGTTTTCTTGAATGAAGTAAAATTTTCTTATTCGTAGTAACTTGTTGCTTACAATAAGAAAATACTATTATTTGGTAGTTTCTTGAAAACAACTTATTATTGTGATTAATTGTAAAGAAATATTTATTTAGAGCAATTAATTAAATTGTTTGGATGTAGGTTTTGTTTCTATAAGAAAGCTTCTACTAAACCTGAGATAAAAAGTCAACTAGATATTTACTTGTATTAACCAAATATCAGTTTTTCCACTAAATAAATATCTTCTTGTAGATATCGAAATAAATAATTTATTTGAGCCAAGCCAAATATAGTAAAATCAAGACATTACTTTTCTCTGTGTAGGTATTTATCTTTTACAAAAGTGTATATTATGTACAAATTTAAAAACAGTTTCTTAAATAAAATAAATAAATGATTAACGTATTTCCCTAATGCCGGTTCTTAAAAGTGGACTCGGCAACGGTGTCGCATACCGAGGTCGAGTTCGAATCGACGATTCATCTGTCTGAAACGTACGTCCACATTTCCCTTTCGCTTCTTCTCTCTTTTGCGTGCGTTTCTGTCCTTCGTCGAGCAGTTCTGAGATGAGTTCGGTCGTAACGACGCGGAGGGGACACGGTGTTCTCGATAGTTGTAAACAAGCGATGGCTTGCGCACGCGCACATAGAAAGAATTCAATAACAAGGGTGGAGAAATCCGACGACGCGTCTAAGGTTTTCGGGGGAGGAACGCTTTTTGGGATGTAATCTTTTTTTGAAATTTTGGAAAAATTGATGGAATTAAAAAATTACCATTGAAATCATGGAGGAAGTTGGCGATAATAAATATTAATCTCGCGGTTTTGATACGAAGATTTCATTCAACAAGTTCCACGAATTAAAACATCGTACCAAATAAATTAATTATCAATACACCCCATAAAATTTCTAGAACAAATCATATTCCTCTTATACTTGCTTTAGATCACGACACGCGCGTTTCATTTCGTCCCACCGACGCTTTAGCCAAGCGCCGCGACGCTGCTCCTTTCCCCCTTTCCCTCTCTCTCATTCTTCTTTTCCCGAAACAGCGTTTTGCACGCCAGATTTGGGGTTGTCAAGTTTACCGTATTTCCGAGAATATCAAGCCATAAATGACCTAGGATTACCTACAAATGAAAGACCTACCTAAGTTGTTCAATAGCAATTTCTGAAGATTTAATATTTAATGTTTTTAGAATTAATCTCATTATGCTTTTTTGAATTCATTTAGATATTTAAATATTTAAGAGTTATTTCCTTCCTATCTGTTTGTGGTTTTTCACACAAAATTAAGTATTACTTATACAAATTATATTACTATATTATTATATATTATTATATATCTATAATAATATAATTTTGCTTTGGACATCTGACAGATCTTTTATCAATTTTGACAAGTACTATGCTCCAGACCTCAAAGTCCCACCACTTGACCACGTACGGAACGCAGTCTTTTGAAAATTTTAGCATTTAAGGCTTTTCAGGTTATGTATCTGTATAGTCAACGAAAGAAATAATATTATGTTTAGGCGTTAAAAATTTATAAATCTTTATAACATTACAATAACAATGGATGGTTTAAGAATTTAAGAATATAAATACTGCATTTAATGAAATTCTAAAGTGTATGGTGCCAAATAAGTAATATTTTTGTGCATTTTGTCCAAATATCTCCATTTAAAAGACTGTATAATATGGTATTTAAAAATGTGGCAGTTTTTCTCATCCAGCTTAAAGTGTACCTACATAAAGTTTTGTCAAAACAAATAGTTAAAGAGCTTAGACTGAACTTGATCTACATCGAAAAATCATTATAACTTTAAAAATTTTAACAAATCACATGTCATGGGAGTATTAAATAGTTTCACATTGCAAGTTTCTCTAAAAATTGTTTGTTTTCTTATAATCTAACTTAAAGTAGGTATGCCGAGAGGTATGCACAAGTTTTGTCATTGGAAGTATAAAAGCTTTTAATTTGAACCATATTCAACAATTATTTAGTATGCCCATATTTATTTATGACCATATTAACACACTCTTCCAAATAATCCACTTATTTATTTTGGATAAAATAGATTTTTCTAACCTTAAAATTACAAAATTAGATGATATTTTTGTTATAATATATTAACCTTCGTTTAAAACAGATATTCTTATTCCATAATAGAGAAGCTAGATTTTTTTTAAATAAATGCTGTTTAGTTAAAATTATTGTATGGAGAAAACCAGATATTTGGACCAAATGCACAAAAATATTACTTATTTGGCACCATACACTTTAGAATTTCATTAAATGCAGTATTTATATTCTTAAATTCTTAAACCATAAATTGTTATTGTAATGTTATAAAGATTTATACATTTTTAACACCTAAACATAATATTATTTCTTTCGTTGACTATACTTTGACAGATACATAACCTGAAAAGCCTTAAATGCCAAATTTTCAAAAGACTGCGTTCCGTACGTGGTCACGTGGTGGGACTTTGAGGCGTGGAGCATAGTACATAAAAACATTTTTTTAAAGTTAAAATTATTGAACATTGGCGAGACCCATCACAGGCCTCAAACAACTTATTACACGTAAAATCATCAAAATGGTAAGAAAGATTTCAGAATTAAGAGTTATAATTTTTTACTTTATTATCGTAAAAAAACTAGTGTAAGCAACTCCCTTGTAATGGGCGATTAAGACACTCGCACTCATTATGACATTCTGACTTTATGTCATAATTCTCATGCTCATGTCTTAATAGCCATCATTGAAACTTTGGTTACAAGCCAGTTTTGTATTATGTTTTCAATTTATCCGGGAGCACAATCCACCCAACAAGGTCTGTTCTATCTCTTACTAAAAATACTAAAAATCACTGCAACACTGCACAGAGTTAAACGGCGGCCATTTTTGTTGTTTACAATTCTTGTGCTTTGGGTTTTGTGCTCTGTTTATACAGATTAATAATCGTTTTAAACGTTGTTTCTTTCATGGGCACTAGTGCTAAGAACAACCATTTTACTCCTCTTTTGTAAAAAATAAACCTTATTCTATAAGGGCTGTCATCAAACTGTCAAATTTCAATTTTAAGGTTAATTTACCATGACCCATACATTTTAATTTGACTGTTTGATGACAGCCCTGAAAAAATAAGATTTTTTTACAATAGAGAAGTACTTTAAGACGTTTATCATTTAAAGATTTTATATACCACTGCATATAGAAATGTCACTGCCACAGTCAAAAGCGAAAAGCGTTACCATAGAAACCAACTATCAACAACTCGCAATGTTGTCGCGTTTTTTTAGTTCCCGTTTTTGTGTTACAATAGATATGTTTATAGTACCCTTTGTATTAAAATAAAAAAAATATATAAAATCAGTTATAAAATTTAAATCAAATGTAATAAAATGAAAAAATTAAATGTTGTTGTTGCAAGTTGGTACCGTCACCTGGGGTTATATCGGATAAGGAGAGCGATTTCTAGTTGAAAACAAAAATATCCCTAGTTTGACAAATCATATGTCATTCCAAAACTTAGTTTGCAGGTGGGATAGACGTTAAGAAAAGCTAATTAAAAAAAATTTGGTCAGATTTTTACTAAAAATACTGCTTTGTAGGGATTATATAGGCGTTCATATTTTCCCTGGATTGTATGAATGAAATTACAACTTTTTTTTACAATATTTTTAAGAATGAGTTTTTTTATTTTTTGTTACCTAATTTAAAAAAATAATATTTATATATTGTTTCAATAAAGCACGTTTTT